ATTAATTAATTAAAGTAAGTTTCCCTTAGTCCACGATCGAGATGCTGCGAAGGATTATTCCTATTCCTTGAGTTGAGATTTCGAAATATATTCGATTGTTATTCGTGTGTATGTTCGTATGTTCGCGGTCCCATCGACCGCGCCGCTATTTCTTTATCTTTTTTTTTTTTCTTTTTACACAGTAACTGCGATCATATATGTATATATATATGTATGTATATATATATACACATATATCCGAGGGATAAGGGTAAAATTCTAGGAGGATTATTTCTCTCTCCCTTTCTCTCTCTCTGCTAATAATATATCTAAAAAAAGAAAAGAAAAGAAAAAAAAAAAAAAAAGAAAAGAAAAAAAAAAGAGATAGCACGGCTAATCACGTGCGTCGAACTTACCGTCGTTGAAGACGCCTTTTTTCTTTTTGTCATCAATCCGCCTTCCGCCATCCGACTGGGTCTCGAAGGCTTGGTTCAGCGCAACAAAGTGCATCGAGAAACCGAACACGAAGATGGCCAGCACGGCGAGAAATCTCGCTAGATCCTTCATCAGGTTACCAATGATGATAGCCCACGGGCCGAACAGATGATGGAACGAGAGGAAATCGAGTATCTGCACACAGGCGAGCAAGAAGCTCAGGGCGAACAGTTGATTCCTGAGGTAAAGTAAAGTTGGCCAATAGGGTCGGTGGACGATCACGAAACCCATTAGATGGAACGCGACCCCGCAAATTCCAAACAGCAGCACGGCCAGTTTAATCCAGCCTAATCCACTTTTGTCGCTCGGGTTGGTCAGCTCGAAGAGCAATAATCCGGACAGCATGACGAGGAGGCACCATTCGTACCAATACGGTAACAGGCTCGCCCTTACCACAGGGTATATAGGAATTATACCGACCAGCAAAAGGAAGACCATCAGATATATGTGAGAGGTTAGATACGACATGAACTTTATAATTGGGACGTTGTTGTACTTGTGGCCGAGGGGGAGGGCGAACACAACCCAGACAGGGGGGCAGACGAGGAACGCGACGAACAGAAGGATCGTCCTGAAGGCGTTCCAGTTCAAACTGCCCTGCCACAATTCTTGGAGATACCGTTGGACAACCGTGTGCGCGATCACCTCCTTCTGCTCGTTCTCGATCAGCACGTCCAAAAACTCGACGTTCCTACGGTCCATCGAGGTGAGAATCCTCCCGGCCGAGTCGGCGCCCGCGGCCAAAGCTAACAATTCCGTGGCCATCGCCTCGCATTGCTTGCCGGCGGCTATCAAGTCTTTCGCCCTCTCCTTCTCCTTCTCCGACAATTTCATGTAGATGTTGGACAGCTTGGCGGCCGTGTCAACCGGTGCCGGGGAAACCAGCACGAATTCCTCGATCGGTTTGTTGTTGTTGTTCTTACTGCACACCATCATGTTGTAGACGAACTGAAAGAAGGAAGGCGTCAAGTCTTGTTCGAGAGGGGAAAGCGGAGAATCTCAACGATTTTTTGGAGTAAGGAAAGTATAGATTCTAAGGCGTTGAAAAGATTGAATAGATAGAGAAGATATTATAAGATAGTCTTAAGTGGCGATACTGAAATATACAATAATTAAGTTTTTAGGTTATTTAGTTGGTTGTTAATTTATTTGTTATATTATTCATTAATAAATATATATAATAAATTATGTTACTATATAAAATATTTTAACAATAAAAAATAATAATTTAATATTTATATAATAAATATTTATATATATATAGATTAGTATATATATAATTATTTTAATATATATATCTTTATATAGATCTTATATNGATTTAATATATATATATATATATATTATTAGTATATATATAATTATTTTAATATATATATTTATATATTAAGGCAGAATATTATATATATATATTTCATTAATTAGCCATGAATCTAATATTAAAATGAATTCTTTAATAATCTCATTATTTATTTTTCGAAATTTCGTCGAAATTCAATTTCAAGCGAGAATTGGAAGAGAATTAAAGGGAAGAACGAGAAGTTTGCTCACCCTTTTGTCCTCCATCAAGGCGTAAGTATCGTGCTCCTTTTCCATTAGATACTTGAGCACGTCGTTGTGGCCCTCGGACGCGGCGAACCAAATGGGCGCGCTGCCGAGATTGGTTTCGCTCTTGGGGGACGCCCCGCTCTCCACCAACAATTTGACAACGTCGAGGTAACCGGCCCGCGCCGCGCAATGCAACGGCGTCCATCCATTTTTATCGGTCGCGTTTATTTCCGCGCCCTGGCCGAGAAGCACCTCCACCATTTGGTAGTGGCCGTGAGTCGCCGCTATGTGAAGACCTGTTTTACCGTAACGGTCGGAGCTGTGCAACAGTTCGGCCGATCTGCTCAACAGAAGACCGACCACAGTGATGTGGCCCCCGAAACAGGCCAAGTGCAAAGGATTGAAACCGTTCTCCGTGGTCGCCGCCTCCACCTTAACAGATCACCAGAGTTTCATTTCCTTCTGTGCCACTGTCGTATCCTTCTTTCTAACCTATTCGTTTTTATTACCTGCACACCGGCCGAGTTCAAGAGCAATCGCACGACGTTCTCGTTCCCCGAATAAGCGGCCAAGTGAAGAGGCGTCATTCCAGATTCGCTTCCCAATTCTCCTACGAGAGAGCCGCCTGTCGGGGGGTCGGACTTCACCGTTCCGGGCACGTGGGTCAGCAATTCTCGCACGGTATCTGGGCGAAGGAAGAAGAAGAAGAAGAAGAAGAAGAAGAGAGAAGGAAGATTAGAGAAGGTCGACTTACCAGCCTGGCCAAAGTACGCGGCTACGTGAAGAGCGGTAACGCCAAGCTTCTTGCTGGATATGCGAAGGGACTGGGAGGATCTCATCACTTCCAACACCTGGCCGTGGCCGTGTTGGGCTGCCAGGTGAACAGCGGTGAACCCTGCCCTGTTCTCG